GCCCTCAGTGCTGAGATGCGATTCATCAATTCCCCGCTTAAGCAAACAAATGGCAAAAAACCCTGACTCACCTGTGGTTGCATCTGATCACACAGTGGCAGGCTGCCCCCGCAGCTTCAAAGGACTGTGTGATCACACAACTGCGGGTCAAATTCCTCTGGAGGGAATAGCCTCCCTCCCCCCCCCCGGTTTATCTCGCGCATGTGGCCACACCCAAGTTTAGTCTGATATGACTTGTTCTTGAAAACCCATGCTGGCTCTTAGTAATCACAGCTATCCTTTCTAAATGCTCAAGGACTGTCTGTTTGATGATTTGTTCTAAAACTTTCCCAGCTATAAATGTCAAGGTGACGGGTCAGTAGTTACCTGGATCCTCCTTTTCCCCTTGAAGATGGGGACATTTGCCTGCCTCCAATCTTCTGGCACTTCTCCTGTTCTCCAAGAATTCTCAAAAAACAATGGACAGAGGCTCAGAAACTACATCCGCAAGTTCTTTTAGTACCCTTGGATGCAGTTCATCTGGCCCTGAGGACTTAGTTTCATTTAAAGAAACTAGGTGTTTATGTTACGTCGATCCTAGGCTGCAACTTCCTTGCCTCAAGAAGTTACAATTCAAGAAGTTACAATTGTTTTATTTACCAAATTTAATTTAAAAATTCTATTTTCAAGCCCTCAAAGAGAACTATGGAATCCCTGACATCTGAACAAGCGGACCACGATGGGGGTCTCTTTTGTCTAAGACTGCCAAAGGCACAGGATCAAGTGGCCAACTGGTGCTCTGTAGGTACACTCGAGAATGCTTTATGAGGAAAAGGGTTTCCATGGGGGACAAATTAAGCTGGAAATTGGACACAGAGGGGTGGAATTCGAAGACAGGCACAGAGTACAAGGGCAGCTCACTGGCTCTTTGGCAGCAGGCAAGGGGGGTGGGAAGGGGAGGTGTGTGAGCCCATTTTATGACAGCTTCCAAGCTGGCTAGCTCTGTGACAGCTTTTAACCTTATCTCTCTTGTCTTCCCAGTTCTAATTTCCTTACCCTGAGTTTAGGGTAAATTTGGGCAAAGCAGTTCTCACATTCAGACCGAAAAGTGCCCTTCTCCCAACATCATTTCAGCAATGAGCCACAGCGACTTTGAATAACGACCCTGCTCTTCCTGTCTTTATCTTCCTAACTTAGCTGTCAGCATGTGGTTCTGCTGCACAAAAGCAGCTTTTATTTGCATGACTGAGCTCAACTTTACTCCTGCCAGTGATCCATGGGATCCATCAGTTTGATGGTAAGGTTATTCCAGACAATTCAATCCTCATAGGGGGGGGGGGGCTTTTGACCTTTAGCATCCACTGAAGTCCATCTAACATCAGAATACAAATGCAACCCTAAAAATAGTCATTCTTGGTACATACTCACAAATGGAATCCACAAACTCACCCAGCCACCACAAAGTAAGGTTGCCAATCCCTGGTGATATGTGAGCGGAACCTGGGGAGGGAGCTCAGCAGAGATATGATGGCATACAGTCTACCCCCTGAAGCTGCCATTTTCTGCAGGGGATCAGATCTTTTTAATCTGAAGATGAGTTGTAATTACAGGTTTCACCTGGAGGTCCGCAACCCTACCACAAAAGCCAAGACTTTTCTCATGATATGAACACTGAGCAAGCTATAGCTAGAGCAGAGGTTCACTGTTAAAATAAAATTGGTGCCATGGCCCACAATGTTTGACATCTAAGTAAAAACAGGCCTCCCTTTGCAATACAAGTCGAAAGGCAGCAGGATTTATTTGTAGTTGTGGGCAACGATCAGTCTTACACTATTGTGCTTTAGCACTTCCAGCTCTTACAAGTCAAAAAGACCTCACTATGTGAACACTTACACAAAGATGTGCTTTGAAGCAAGGAAAGCCTAAACCAGAAGGACAAATATCAGATATGAAGGGGTTAGACGTGGGGATATCAAAATGATATGGAAAACAATTTCTGGCAGGCTATCTTACCTTGGGAGGAGAAAGTGTGAGAGGTCAGCACAGCCAAGAAGGCCCTCAGAAGGGACAAGTGGGAGGTGAGCAGAGCCAGAAGTCAGAGCTAAGGCTGCCCACTTCCAGGTGGGGGCTGGAGTTCTTCCAGAATTACAACTGATCTCCAGATTGCAGAGATCATTTTCCCAGGGCAGACTCTATAGCGTCAGATCCCTGCTGAGCTCCCTTCCCAAACTCCACCTTCCCCTGGTACCTAGGGTTGCCAGGTCTTACTAGCATACCAGCGCGGGGGGGGGGGGGGAGTCCCAGTCCCTCTCCAGGATCTCTTTGGCATGATGACATCTCCTGGAAGTGACATCATTGCGCACAGCGTATTGCAGGGGATGCTCTACCTTTTAAGGAAAAATTCTATGGTTTTTCCTTAAATGATTGACTGCCCCCCGCAACAGGCCCTGTGCAATGACGTCACCGCTGGGTGATGTCATTGTGCCGGGTGCATTGCCATGTACTGGGTGCTTTGGGGGCGGGGTTACCCCCATCGGCTAAATCCGTGGGCTTGCATCCGTAGTCATCACTAACCTCTTTGGTTCCCGTAATGCGAGACCCTGGAGGAATTGAGAGGGCTCCAACCACCATTGCAATTGGTGTTTCAACTCGCCTGGAAGTCAGACTAGTGTGAACTGTTTATTTGCAATTATGTCTTAGTAAAGTAGTAGAAAACGCTGTAAAGGCTGAGCATGAAGTAGTGACCATTGAAGCACATCCTGGCAAGATACCATCATGCCTAGCAGTTTGGCTAGTACCATCACCTCTACCATGGGCTTCCTCAGCACCTCCATAGCAAGAGCCTGTATTTTTTGTTGCATGTCTTGTGATATAAATACTCTGTCCCTTCTTGTGTATATCTGCACTCCCAGGTGCCAAAGGGTTTGTGTTGGGTGAAGGTTGCTATTTCCCAGGTTTACAAGAAAGCCATGTTCCCTGAAGTCAAATCTGACACTTCCACACTCTTCTGAAAAGATGGTGCTTTTATTAGGATGTCATCGAAATATGGATACAGGGACACTCCCTGTAACTTCAGATGTGCCACTGTGGCCACCATGATCTTGGTGAACACCCTGGGAGCTGACTTCAAACCAAACGGGAAAACCTGGTACGGAAAGTGCTTTTTGTCATATGCAAATTGGTGGAACCTGTGGTAGGACTCCCAAAGGGGTATGTGTAAATAGGCTTCTGATAGCTTGATGGATGCCAGGAAATCCTCTTTCTGAATGGCTAAGAATAGATTTTAGGGTTTCCATCCTGAACGTTCTGGTTTTTAAGCACCTGTTCATCCACTTCAGAATCAGAATAGCCCTGACATCTCCATTCTTCTTCAGCACTATGAACAAAACTAAATAAACTCCCTGAGTATTTTGGGACTCTAGAACCAGTTGTGGTTCCTATGTCCAGCAGATGTTGAATAGCTCCTACCAACAGTCTATGTTTCTTCAATGACTGGGCCCTCAGAATTTGCAAGAATCGGCTGGATGGAATGGTGTTGAACTCCAATGAGTAACTGTTGGTTACTGTATCCAGCACCCAGCTGTCATTCCCTTTCAATTGTCAGTGGGATGCAAAGTTCTGCAACTGTCCCCCTCTTCCCAAGGTTTCCTTTGTGTCAGGATAGTCATGCCAAGGTTCTTTTCTTTGTCGTTTTGGGATTCTGGTTGGTCTTGTTGAGGAACGATGATCTGTTATCTCTCACCCAGGACTGCCACTTTTCCTTGAAGGATTTGGAGAAATCTGGACGTGATGTTCTCTTGGACTCAAAAAGGACTGAAAACGTTTTTGTAGTTGTCCACTTTATTGGGATTTAAAATCAGACAGAAGGAGTTTATCCCAATGGCATGTTCAACAGTGCAGTTATTTTTTGTTCTCTTTCTATATGCTGAAGCTGAAACTTGCCAAATAAAATTGCTTTAAACACACACACAGAGAGAGCGAGACTGGCAGAAATCTGCTCCTTCTTCAGAAAGAGATGGGATTTAAAGCAGGGATGGGTAACTGGTGGCTTGTGGGCTGGCTCTGTCTTTAAAATAATGTGAATTTAGTCAAAGTAAGGGGTAATGATGGTAGGAACACCTCATTGGGGCCCGGCAGACCAAGGCCAGCACAGGTAGGGTTTCCAGCCTTCAGGTGGGATCTAGAGTTCTTCCAGTATTACAACTGATCTCCAGACAGTAATCCGTTCCCCTAGAGGAAATGGCAGCTCTAGAGAGTGGGTTGTATGGCATTATACCCCACTGAGATCCCTTCCCTCACCAAACTCTGCCCTCCCAAATCACCAGAATTTCCCAAGGTGGAACCCAGTTTACCAACCAGTTTACCATTACCAGTTTAACAATTGAAACCCTATTTATCTTATTTCGGTAATAAAATAGATTTTCTTCCATGATCATGATATGTAATGAGATAGAAAGGTGTTTCAAATTAGGTCCAAACCCAGATCCATGGTGGTGGGACCCTGACCAAAGAACAGAAAAAGGTTTCCCCACAGGGTCATACACAGAGAAAGGCATGTTTTCAACCCATAAGAAGCAAAGTTATTTCAGACTTTTTTGTTCCATCTCTTATTTAGATTTTTGGATTGAGTAGATAATTGTCCATAAATTCACATACCCCACATCTGAGTCCCAGTGCTGCCCTTTGTGCTGGCATCAATTTTATTATGGTGCCTGACTTTCCAAAAGGGGCTTATGAGCCAGTTTGGTCACCAAATAGATTTCAGGCTACCAAGCTGCTTTCCCTAGAACAGAGGACCTTCAAGAATGAGGAAGTTGGCTGTCTCTGTTTTGCAATATAACTGCACCCTACAAGCAATCAACACCGCTTAGTTTCATTGATCTATAGTTTCCATGCTGTAGACTATAGTGGTGCTAAGCAGAAAGAAGGAGGTAAGCATTATGGGGACCTACACTGCATGCTTAACTTTATCAGCTATTCACAGAAAAAGTGTGGCTGGGTAAAAGGTGCACCTGACTTACCATTAAGCCACCGGGAGTCATGCTGCTCTGTCCTGATTGGATGGTGGTGCCCCAGGGTACGAAAAATGGCAAAATCTCTGCCCATGAAGTCTGCTGCAGTTCCTGAGTAAAGTTCCCCATCTGTAATATAGCATGGAATTGCATCAAATGGTTAGTCAGTGAAATACAACACAACCTTCCTGATGAAGTTTTACTCTGCTTTTATCTGTTTGAACTTTGGCACTCATGTCCCTTTGTTAGCCACCCTGAGCCTTCGGGGAGGGCGGGATATAAATCCAAAAATAAACAAACAAATAAATGAAGCTGTAAACTTAACTCACAGTCCCACTGTGTCATGCACTGTGTTACATGACAGAATCTCCTTTTCGAATTGTGTGTGTATTTTCAGTTCCAAAAGCGCTTTATTTATAAGGTGACTTTCCTTGTAGGGAGAGAGTACTGGAGACAAGACCGTTTGTTGATATGTTTCCCAATATGCAAGTCAACAACAATCAACCATTTGGATGGCCAGTGCTAATCTGTAAAGCAGCCTCAGCCCCCCCCCCCCAGTAAAGAGAATAGTGGGTTGGCTTTTCCTCTTCATACTTACATATTGATGTCTAGGATTGTTTTGATCCCTTTCAGACATGCTCTTTAAACCTACTTTGGCTTCTGAAGGCAAATGGATTTTTTAAAACCTTGACATGCCTTCACACATAAACCCAGATCAAACTAGGTTTTGGAAAACCCAGATAAAGCCTTTAGTAACTGGGGTGGGGGGAGCATTTATCCTCATGGTATATGAAACCTTTTTTTAAAAAAGTCTTCAGAAGTCAAATTGGGTTAAAAAGCCCCTTTGAAAGAGAAAAACCTGTATCTAGCATAACCTGTTACCAGGATTTCCATCAGCTTGTGTGTGTATAAATTGCTGCCAAGTTGCAGCCAACTTATGGTGACCCCAGCAAGGGGCATTCAAGGCAAGTGAGAAGGCTTTCTGTTCTAGTCCCGAGTGAGTGGCCCCTGCAAAGAAAGGTGGTGAAAAGAAGATAGGGCGATCTGCCATCAATGAGGCAGTCACTCGGGATGATACTATCAACATTCATAAGAGGATCTATGGCATGGGCTTCAAGAAGTGGGCTCCATGGGCTCTCAAGGAAATCTGTAAATTTTCAATGAGGGAGATGGGGACACCTGATGTATGCACTGATACCCACTTGAACAAGGCAGTCTGGGCGAAAGGAATAAGGAATGTCCCTTACCACATCTTTGTGCGTTTATCCAGAAAACGCAACACGGGCCAGATATCGCGGGGGGGGAGGCGTGGCTGTTTGCCCCGCAGCGAAATAACGCGTGACTGTGCGATCAGGCATCCCCTTGCGGTCCTGTCGAGGTCCCGTGGTTAGGGGGGAGGTGCCGATTACACGGCGCGCCAAAGAAGCGGTGCGGCACGGCAAACGGGGTTGTGTGTGTTTTTTTTAACCTGAAGTGTGCACATCCCTGGAGACTTCAACCCCCCCTTTTCGCAATGGGGCATGGGCGGGCGCTGGATGCCACCGGAAACACGATCAGATGCCTACCCTTGCTCTGCAGTTTCCGGAAACTAGTACCTCCGAGGTACTAGTTTTTAACCGCGCATCTTCGGAGGGAAGCCTCAGGTTCGCCACAGGAGCTTTACGCTTCCCAGATATGGCGGTGAGATCACACCCGGAAAATCCGCCTATCTTCCATCGCAGTAGCGTGGCTACTGCTCCGTGTGACCGCAGCCAAAGATGAAGATTCACTCAATAAATTGTACATCCTGGTTACTTATGTGCCAGTTACCACTTTCAAAAGTCTACGGACTGTCAATGTGGATGAAACTAATCTTTCATTATGATAAAGTTATAAAGATGAAAAAAGGCAAATGGGAAGCAGAGGTGGTTTGCCATTGCCTTCTTCTACACAGCCTTCCTTAGTGATCTCCCTTCCAAGTACCAACCATGCTTATTTTCCAAGATCTGATGAGATCAGGCTATACCATGCCACCTTCTGGTTATGTATCAGGTAGCCCTCAGAGCCTGGAGTAAGATGCTTTGCCTTTCACATTAGAAATCACAGAATGCACTAACCACTTTCAGGTATCAGATATCCCATGGTCTCAGAGCATGCCCACAGAGATTACAGTACTCCTTGGTTGGAACTCGGAAACAAGCTTATTAGTTTCAAGGCAGGCTCATATTTTACAGGCCCACGCTGGCAGGGACAGCAGTGTCTGACCCTGCCTCTTCAGCAAGAGGAGCTGTCTTCTCTTTAAAGTATCCCATTCTCCATTGGCCTTGCAAAGGCCCTCTGGCAAATATGCCCTGGGAAGGGAGAAAATGTGATCGTAGAAATATGTGGAATGAAAAGCAGTACGATCCCTTGTGTCCAATAAGAGGTATAAACCAAATTGAGGGGGAAAGAACAGTGCATTTATTCCTTAGTTATTATCACTTTTCTATCTCATCTGCCACTTGCTCTTTGGAAAGGAGAGACAATCTCTTAATTATAGGCCTTCTTATGTACAGGGCTTGAGAAAATGCCTTTGATGCCTGTCTTAGCCTTTACTTAACCTCTCCATTTGCTTGTCAGCCCCTCTCAAGAGACTCCAGAGGAATCAATACAAATCAAAGGAAAGGCAAGAGGCCTGATAATATTTCATAGTTGTCAAAAGAGGGGGAATGGTCACCCAGGAATAGACATGCCAGAAGGCAAACTAAGTAAAAAAAATAAGCAAAAAAAATAAGATCCTGAGTTAACACCATTTAAACTAAACACCCTTCAGAGTATTTATACTAGAAAATGCCCATCATTCTGAAAGGAGTGGGGTGTGTCTGGAGGGTTGGTTATTGCAGACACCCCCCATGAGATCACGAGGCTGAAGTTGGTTCCTTATTCCCAACTGCTCCAAAGTGTGGTGCCCCCAAGGCAGTCACACAGGCAGACACGGGCCAGGCTGTACCCACAAAACAATCTTTGGACCACCCCAAATGACACATCACCATGCTCTGAAGACTGTCCCCTGCAAGAAGACATACAGCAGCACCTGGTCCAAACTCCGGTTCTGGCACCATGAGTCAGTGGCCTCTATAATATCAGAAAAGTTTAATTTCTGGGTATAAGTAAGAAAAGAATGACTTAGTGTGTGTAGTGAGATAAGAAGCCAATTTCTCTGTTAAGCCCTGGGGGTTCCATTGTCCTGAGTGTTGTAATATCTTGCAATTCAGCAATCTTCTGTTCCAATCTGTTTCTGAAATTCCTTTAAAATAAAGCAACTACTTTGAGGTCCCCCATTGTGCCCTGGGAGGTTGAAATGTTCTCGTACAGGTTTCTCAATTTTTTGATTCTTAATGTCAGATTTGTGTCCATTGATCCTTTGGCAAAGGGTTTGACCTGTTTGTCCTATGTGGAGAATGGAAGGGCATTGTTGGCATTTAATGACATATACAATGTTAGAAGATGAGCGGTTGAATAAGCCTCAGATGTTGTAGTTGATGTTGTTAGGTTCAGTGATTGTGTTGTGTGGGTGTATGTGGCAGCAAAGTTGGTAACTGGGTTTGTTGCAAGCTCTTGTATCAGTGTCCATGTTCAAATTATATGCTGTATTGTTGTGGGTAAGGAGTGGTTTGAGATTGGGGGGAGCTGTCTGTGTGCTAGAAAAGGTCCCCCCCCATAGAGTACTGTCTTTATCCAGTAGAGGTTGTAAGTCACTGATGATGCGTTGAGCTGTTTTGAGTAGAGAGTTGTATGTGACCATTAGTGGTGTTCTGTTATTGTCTCTTTGGGGCCTGACATGTGGCAGTCCAAACCTTATTCTGGGGTGCAGAGGGCAAGCCATCAGACCAGTTCTTTATTCAAATCTTCCTTGAAATACAGGCCTCTTAGTGGTAACCCAAAAAGATGCTTGTGGTGCCAGAACCAGAGCTTGGACTGGGCACTGCTGTATGTCTTCTTGCAGGGGGCAGTCTTCAGAGCAAGGTGATATGTCATTTGGGGTTTTCCAAAGATTGTTTTGTGGGTGCAGCCCGGCCCCAGCATCTGCCTGTGTGATTGTCCTGGGAGCACCGCACTTTGGAGCAGCTGGCACAAGAACCACAGTTTGGACCAGGAAACAAGGGTGGTGGTCCAAACCTTATTCTGGGATGTAGAGGGCACTTCCTTATTCAAATCTTCTTTGAAATACAGACCTCTTGGTGGTAGCCCAAATAGAAGCTCATGGTGCCAGAACTGGAGTTGGACTGGTTGCTGCTGTATGTCTTCTTACAGGGAACAGTCTCCAGGGCATGGTGATGTGTCATTTGAGGTGGTCCAAAGATTATTTTGGGTTGCAGCCTGGCCCCAGTTTCTGCCTGTTTGCCTCCCCTGGGGGCACCACACTCACAAGAACCGTGCTTTGGACCAGGAAATGGCATATGCCTCCTCTTTTGATCAGCTGGCACAAGAATGGCACTTTGGACCAGGAAACAGGATAGCTCCTCTTGAAGGGGAGAGTCCTGTGAACCTGGGGGGGGGGGGGGGTTATGATGTGTGGTGGTCCAGACCTTATTTTGGGGTTCAGAGCTTTCAAACTCTCCTCAGTGTTTTTGGTTGAATTCATGAATAAGTCACAAATAAAGAATGAATAAGGAACTGGGAATAAGGAACCAACTTCAGCCTTGTGATGAGATCTTAGTAAGTGAAGGCTGGAAAATCTGCAGTCTGGAATGCACAATTCCACCCTACAATAATGCCTGACAAGTGCAGTGTTTCAATTTTCCTCACGGGAGTGAATAAGCTAGTATGGGTGAAATTAGGTTTGCCAGGTCTGGGTTGGAAAATACCTGGGGACTTTGGGGGTGGATCCAGGAGAGGGTGGGGTTTGTGGAGGGGAGGGGCCTCAGCATGGAACAATGCCATAGAGTCCACCCTTCAAAGCAGCCATTTTCTCCAGGGGAGCTGATCTCTGTCAGCTGGAGATCAGTTGTAAAAGCGGGAGATCTCCAGGCCCCACCTGGAGGCTGGCAACCCTAGGTGAAAGCAGGGTTTAGTAACACTCACAAGTGAATGAAACCTATGCCAATCTTCAAGGTCCCAGCTTGGGTTTATTTCTGGGTCACCCTGGAATATCCAAGCAATTTTGCTTC